AAAGTTGAAGTAAATAAATGTTTGCAAGGCATATTGACTGTAATTATAAATCCATACTTCCGTATACCCAAGTAAGTATAGTAAATATCTTATTGTAATTGATGGATTCAATATAGCATTGTCAGCACTAAGGAATGTTTTTACAGCATGTTTAAATATAGCAGCAACTACAATAACAGGATTGTATAGAACAAACATAAAGAACAAATGCATTTGGGTTGTTCTGCAAAAATACAAATAGCCTGGCTTTAATGCAAACATAAGGCTTAATCATTAGTGTGAGGAAAACAATATAATTCAGAGGGATAGATCAACTCAGGAATCTTAATCATTAATCGGCTTCTCCCTGGGGAAAAATCTAGGAAGGGTGGACGAAGAGAAAGATGTATAGGGGTGGAAAGTATAGGAGTGTCCTGGCACCCTGGCACGGTATTATCAACTACTCAGAATCTAAGTGAACCAATTTTTGCTTCCCAATAGTACTGGCCAAGAAGAGAGGTGGTGGTGATGGTGTCTGGGTATCTTGCATTTTGAGTTGCATCAAGAGACGAGGCTTGAAACACATCAGTTGAGAAGAGAAAATCTGTTCCCTTGCCTCTTCATTTCTCCAAACCCTTCTAGAATGTCCAAAGAACGAGAAGGATTAAGAGAACGGAGTGCCAGAAAAGAAGAGTGAGAAGGGGAGAAGAAAGTAGACAGGTGGTGAGAGAGGTGTTCACCGAGCTTTGTCGATACATCCACAATAGACAAAACTTGAAAATTGTGTCCATCAGCAGAGGAATGTACAGACAACGGAATATTACTCAGCCGTATAAAGGAATGGAATTCTGATATTTTCTACAACATAGATGAATGCTAAAAATATTATGCTGAGTGACATGTTAGACCTAGTAATAGAAATATTGTATGATCCAACTTACTGAAAATCTGGAATAAGTAAATACACAGAGAGAAAAGTTTGTTCATGGAGAGAATGGGAGTTGTTGCTGAAGAACTGCTAATTTTCTGCTTGGGGTAATGAAAGCTTTTAAAAGGGAGAGTAGTAATGAAAGCACAAACAAACAAACAAACAAAACTCACTGCCATAGGTCAATTCTGACTCAAAGCAAATGTACAGGACAGGGTAGCACTGCCCCAGTGGGTTTGCAAGACAGTACGTAACTCTTTATGGGAATAGAGAGTGGAAAGCCTCTTCTTCCTCCTGAGGAGAGGCTGGTGATTTTGAACTGCTGACCTCATGGTTAGCAGCTCAACAACCGCATAACCCACTACGTCACCAGGATAAATGTCATGAATGTCACTGAACTATACTTCAAAATGGTTAAAATGAAAAACTTTTTTTTAAAAATCATTTTATTGGGGGCTTTTACAGCACTTATCACCATCCATCCATCCATTGTGTCAAGCACATTTGTACATGTTTCCATCATCATTTTCAAAACATTTTCTTTCTACTTGAGCCCTTTGTATCCATACATTTTCCCCCCTCCCCCAACTTCCCTCCCTCAAGAACCCTTGTTCATTTATCTTTTTTTTTTCATGTCTTACACTGCATGCTATCTCCCTTCACCCACTTTTCTGTTGTCCATCCCCCTGGGAGGGGTTATATGTAGATCATTATGATCAGCTCCCCCTTAAAATGAAAACCTTTTTGTTATACATATTTTGCAATAAATTTAGAAAGAGAGAGCAGGAAGGGAGAGAGTAAGAACAAGAAGAAAAAGACAAAAGATAGGTCCAGAAGTGGGTCCTGAAGCCAGTCCTTGTTCTAAGTACGATGGCCATCTGTGGGAGGCAGCGCCGGGCTGATGCTGGGAGACAGAGGAGCCAGGGCTCCAAGCTGCCTCTGCTTCTGCCCTGCTTCCAGTTTCTGCCCTTTGATATGCTTTGGCTCCAATCCTCCACAGTGTCCCAGTTTATCTGTTCCTTACACCAAGCCTCTGCCTTTCCCTTGTGAATAGACTGGCCTCCTTCTTCCTGGGGCCTCTCCTGGGGGCTGCTCAGTGCCCAGTTCTCAGGCTGTAGCCTGAGGAGTAAGCTAAGAGCCCATGTCTAGCTGGGTCATCAGCACTGTGAAAAGGACCCGGCTAGGAATGGGCTGCACATCCTTCTTCTCCCTCTCTCCTCAGACAGTTTCTTTTTGTCCTAATCTGAATGTTGCCACAGATTGTTTCCTAGACTTACAAAAAGCAACACCGAACACTTATTTGCACTTTACTAAATGGTTTATTTTTATTTTCAGTTATAAAAGAGGCATTAAAGGACAAATGTCAAAGACAAAACTAGGGCTTGTACCTAAGTTCATCAAGTTTTGCTTCCAATTATCAACTCTTATAAAGAAGAAAAACCCAAAATGTGAAGCCAAATTTGAAAGCTCATGGTTTTCCCCATTACCCATGTTTGGGGTTCTTTCTGCTTTTTCCAAGTCCTCCTTCATCCTTACCTTCTTCTCTCTTCCCTCTCTCCCTCCCCAAGTGCCCTCACCCTCACCCTGGCCTCAACTAAGTCTTCAAAGTCTCTTCTTTTGGTGTGAAATAATGTTTTCCGTTTATAATGATGATGTCATGAAATATTACTCTTTATGAGATTGACTAATTTTGTGAGCATACCACCTCCAATCTTGTCCGTGTCATGAGGTATTTGATAGGTTATTTCGTTCTTGGAATTTAGATCTGATTCTTTAGTTCAACATTTCGCACAAATTACTTTTCACTCTGCTCCTCTGATGCTCCTAATTCAAGTTCGAGCACATTCTGTGTTGTTTCCCTACCTCTTTTTGTCTCATTCTAATAAAGTACAAAATGGGAGCAAATAATCTCATCCTGTGTTTTCTTCTTCCTTTTCTCCATCTCTAAGTTATTTTGCTTGTTTGTTTTATAGCTAGGATTACTAATATTAATTTATCGGGGGGGGGGGTGTTTCTTTCAAGTCAAAATCTCTCCTTCCCCTCGTTCATCTTACAGTAAGTTGTAACAAGCAATGCATCATACAGACCTCTGGGGTCTGGCAGTTAAGCCACGGGACTAATGCCACCATTGTCCTTGCCTCTGCTGCAGACACTAAGGGAGGCTGCTCCTTAGTGAATGAACACAGTTGGCATGAGGTGCCGTACTCCACCTCCCACTTTGGGGACTTTTAAAAAAAAGAAATTACAATGAAGTGATCACGTTCTAGGTAAGCGTCTGGATATTAAGAAGTAATTACTGATATAATGATAACTCTAAATGGCCTGCAGTAGGAAGCAGTATGAAAGCTTTGTAGAGGTAAGAACTATCTACTCCAACTGTTGATGCCATAGTACTTTTTACACTTTTGAGCTAAAGTACCAAACAAAAACAAACAAATTCACTATTATCGCGTCCATTCTGACTCATAGTGACCCTAAAGGACAAGGTAGAACACCCCCTGTGAGTTTCTGAGAATGTAACTTTTTTTTTCTTTTTTTACATCATTTTATTGGGGTTCATACAACTCTTATCACAATCCATACATACATTCATTGTGTCAAGCACATTTATACTTTTGTTACCATATCATTTCCTAATTTCCCCCCCCTTCCTCCCTCACCCCCTCCCTCATGAACCCTTGTTAATTAATAAATTATTATTATTTTGTCATATCTTACACTGTTCGACGTCTCTCTTCATCCACTTGTCTGTTGTCCCTCCCACAGGGAGAAGGCTATATGTAGATCCCTGCAATCAGTTCCCTCTTTCCACGCCACCCTTCCTCTACCCTCCCAGTATTGCCACTCTCCCCACTGGTCATGAAGGGGTCATCTGTCCTGGATTCCCTGTGTTTCCAGTTCCTATCTGTACCAGTGTACATCCTCTGGTCTAGCCAGATTTTTAAGGTAGAGTCGGGATCATGATAGTGGGGGGGGGGGGGCGCGAAGAAGCATTAAAGAACTAGAGGAAAGTTGTATGTTTCACTCCTCTCCTCCCCTTGTGGGGAATGTAACTCTACAAGAGTAGAAAACCTGTTTGTTTTTTTCTCTTGGAGAGGCTGGTGGTTTTGAACTGCTGACTTTGCGGTTAGCAGTCCAATGGTAACCACTGCATCGCCAAGGCTCAGTATGTTTTGTTTTGTTTTTTGAGCAAGGCGAGCAAAAATTCCCCATTACAAGGAGGCAAGATACCTGAGAACAGCAAAGAAGCAAATACTCATATTCATCCACTGAGACTTGCTATTGATTATTGTGATTTGCTGTGACATAGAATGTCATTTTTCTCCAGCTACAGGTGATATTTATTGCAGGTTCAGTTCTAGACCACAATAAAGCAAATAGCACAATAAAGAGAGCTACATGAGCTTTCTGGTTTCCCAGTGCTTATAAAAGTTATGCTTACACTATGGCAGAGTGAGCTGCTGTCACAGTGGTGGTTCAAACCCACCAGCTTCTCTGAGAGTGAACGATGCGGCTGCCTGCTCCTATTAACACATACAGTCTCCGAAACCCTAAGGAGCAGTTCTACTCTGTCCTGTAGGATCACTGTGAGTCAGAATCAACTCAGTGGCAGTGGCTCGGCAGTCTGTTAAGTATGCAATATCATTATGAAAAAGTTTGAAATATTGTGAGAACTACCAAAGTGTGACACAGAAATACATGCTGTTGGAAAGGTAGTGCTGATAGACTTGCCCAATGCAGGGTGGCCATGAACCTTTGATCTGTAAGAAATGCAACATGTGCAAAGTGTAACAAAGAAAAGTATAATAGAACAAGGTAGGTCTAAGCATTCTTTTTATGCATGTTTTGCAATCAGTCAGGAGTTAGCTTCTCATTGCCATTGAGTCAACAGGACAGGGTATAACTATAACCGAGACTGTAACTCTTTACAGGAATAGAAAGCCTCAGATTTTCCCTATGGAGTGACTAGTGGTTTTGAATTGCTGACTTTGCAGTTAGCAGGTCAATGCCACCAGGGCTCCAGGAGTTAGCTTACCGAGCTTAAGTTCCTTATCACATCCCTGGGGCTCAAGTACTGGAAATGAAGCATTACCTTTTTAAGCACTCCAGACTCCAAAGATACGGGGCCAGATGCCTCATTGGTGAGGTGAAAGAACTGGGATTCCCCACAGTGCAAGGAAACTTCCTGGGACTCTTGAACAATGTGGTCGCCATCTGCTACTTCCAAAGTTCTGTGGAGAGAAGAAACTCGGTCAACAAGCCATACAGAAGCCCACAGGCCTATTTCTCCATGTATATTTCCAATCATCTAAAAGAATGAATCATTAGGCAAACCCTACATTACAGTAGGTAATTTGATGTCGCCATAACACATTTATAAATAAGCCTTGATGACATCACCATATAGCTATCAAAATTATTTTCAACTCGATGCAGAAATTAGAGGTAAATAGGTAGATGGGGAGCTAGATGGGTCGACAAGGAGATTTTGGCTTGAAAGTAGTCAAGTTTAATTTCATGATTTCTTGATTGTGCTATTGTCGTTGTTTATAAGCATCCTAGGCTAGGAAACAGAAATGAGACCTATGGAAACTGAGTCGCTATGGAAACCACTTTGTTTTTACAGGTGTGCCAAGATTTCTGCCTCTAACAGGGAGTTTGTCTCTTCTGCCTGTGGACAATGGTTGCATGGACTGTCTCTGACGGGATTCTGCCATACACAGGTTCAGTCTTCTGCAAGTTTTTTTTTCCCATCCACCTTTCCATTCCCCCTGTTTCATGTTTATTGTAATATTTGTTAGATTTAAAAGGGATGAGAATAATGAAGGCAAAAAAATTCTGGCAGACTCTGGTGGCCGCCCCTCCCCCAAACCATTTTTCTCTTACCTCCTACATCCTCTTGCCCCTCCCCAATTCAAAATATCCTTAGTAATAATCATGGTTTTTAAAAGGTATCTATACCTCATGTATCTCAGAATTGGCTGCTCACCACCTCAAATGAAAGAATATAGAATGTCCAATGCTGTAAATCAGTGGTTGGGAAGATTTTTTTCTGCTAAGGACCACTTGGATATTTATAACATCATTCATGGGCCATACTGGCCAAAGCTTAATTACCTCACCCCTAATGTGACGGCTAGACTGGCTTCAATTTGGTGAGACGTGTGATGTTAATATAGTAGGGCTATATTGCTAATATAGTAGGGCTTATGTGGTCCATGGACCGGACATTGTCCACCCCTGCTAAGTCTTTATAGGATCCTATGCCGCCATCTTTTCCCCATGGAGTGGCTGGTGGGTTTGAACCTCTGACCTTCAGATTAGCAGTTCAATACCTACCTGACAGACCCATTAGGGCTTCTCAGTGCCACTACCTTCAAGTAGTCAATCATAAATGATCTAAACATGGTGGCCCATATACCCTTATAGTGATTTATTTAGGCATATGACTATACATATTTCTTGCTGTTAGAACCACACTGATTTTTGTTTCCCTGTGTTAGTGGGTTATGTGTTAAGCTGCTAACCGCAAGGTCAGCAGTTCGAACCCACCAACTGCTCTTTAGGAGAAATAAGAGGCTTTCTGCTTCTGTAAAGATTTACGGTCTTGGAAACCCACAAAAGCAGCTCTACTCTGTCCTGCAGTGTCACTCAGAGTTGGAATCAACTTGGTGGTGGTGAGTCTGTGCGTGTGCATGTGCATGCAGTACTCTACCCTGTTTACCTGTCCCATAGATGTGTGGGATGTCTCCTGAAGGTCTCCCTTAAAAGGAGATCTTCAAGAAGTGACAGGGTCAAGCCTGCATGTCATGGCTATGACATCCATCTTAGGGCCACGATGGACATCGGCCTAAGGAGAATAGACTGTGGACAGCAGAGCAGAAATATGAGAGCAAACTGGGTCTTTGAGTTCATCAGCAAGCAGCTGAACGACCCTTCCTGGCCTGCTCTATCTGTGGAGTTGTTGTTAGATAATAAACGCCCTGTTCCCCATGGGTTGACAGATTGCTCAAATACATAACTAAGGTGGGGCTAAAGGTACTGGAGCAGAACATGGCTTTGGATGAAAATGTCAATGAAATGGAAAGAGGACCACAATCGGAGTTTTGATGTTTTGTAGAAGATACAGAAGTTTGGGTGGAGTTTCCACCATGTGTCAGAAATAAAAATAGAGAGACAAAAATATTTACCCTTTAGAGAGGCAGGGAAACAAAAAAGCAAAAGAGATATATACAAAATACCACCATTCAGTTGATGCCAACTCATCAAGACCGTACAGAACAGGGACCAGACCATAATCTTATGGACAAAGACTGCTGCATCTTTCTCCCTGTGGAGTGGCGGCGAAGGGGATTGAACCACCGACCTTGCTATTAGCATTCAAGTGCTTAACTACTAGACTACCAGGCTCCATATTATTTGGGTAACTGTCTTATACATCTTTGTGGGATTTCTAAAATAGTTTTATTGGCATGTACTTCACACATCATACAATTTAATCATTCAATCATATTAAGAAGATCTGTGCTATCATCACCACAATCAATTTCAGAACCTTTTCTCGTACTCATTGCTAGCTCTCTCTCCCTCCCCAGCCTCCCCTGCCATACCCCTAGGAAATTATTAATCCAGTTTCTGTCTCTATAGCTTTAGCTATTCTGGATTACATCTTTTAGTTAAAAAAAAAAAACTTTTGCCACACTATAAAGACATGAAGGCATATCAGCAGCAATCTTTTTCTTTTCACTTTGCCTCCAATTTTGTGCTATAAAAGTAATACATGCACAGCACAAAAGCAATTTAACCTGAATTGAAATAGGAAAGAATCTCTCTAGCTCCCATCAGTTTCAGTCTGCAGAAATAACCACAGCTAACAGTCTCCTTCCTGCAACATTTTAAGCTTGTAAACGTGTAAAAATCCATTTCATCCTCTCAAAGAACATGCTGAAGTTTACCCTGCAGGCAGGTCTCTCCTGGGAGGGTTAAAAATGGTAACAAGAAGTGGTAGGCAGATCGCTCTGGAGAATTTAGGCAACAGCTGCACAGTGAGTGTCTTGCCAGTTGAGAAGGTGTTACGTTCTTGCCATGAATGTCTCTTTGATCAAGGCCTGTTTGTCACTGACCTAACCCACAGGCTTCGCCTTGTCTTCCTCCCCACAAATATTCTAAGAGAAACAGCCAGGAGAAGGGCACTAGGACTGGACACCTTATTCTAACGACTGCAATCTTACACATTGTAAAAGCAAATCAGTAATACATAGGAAGTCTGTGCCCTCTACACTTTATCCCTCTTGGTAAAAAACGTCTAAGTGCCTACTGACTCAAGAGCCTGCAGGAGATAGACGTGATCTAGATGTTCTTCCCAATGTCAGCTTTCTCTTGCTAGAGGTGGGCACCCGAAAGGAGTGGCATCTTTCTGCAGGATAAGTAGACGTCACGGAATGAAAAGCTGGGGCATGTTCTGTGTTCCTATAGCTCGTGCTTGTGATCTAATCCTTGGCTAGTCCAGACTCCTTTAGACTCCAAGGAACGAAAACACAGAAGCGTAACCTCCAGCAAATGTCATTATCACACATGAAACAAGAGGGAGGGGGGAACCGGTTTATTACATGTATCTGTTCATCAAGCCCCAGACGTCCGACAGGGCAAGATGTGACAAAATAACACTTTATAAACTATCAAGGGC